AATAACTCATATACATGCTCACCTGTTTTTTAGAGGATTCGTAAAAGGATTAAATCAAGATATGACTATGGTCTGAAGAGAAAGATGAATCCAATAACTTCAGTGTAAAATAAACCACGTCAAAAGTCCTACATTGTAGAGCTGCTAAAAAGGATATGATCTTCAACAACAGGCCGTTTTTTGTTTCTGGTTAGAATTTTTTTAGCGACTTAGTTTTCGACAGAATGGGGCTACCAGCACGATACCCAACATTCCTTTATCCGGGTATGGGACCGGCTGCAGCCCCAGAAGCGCTCCAGGTTGTGGCTAATAAATTAGAAAAGTAAGAGAGGAAGATAATATTCATTAAAACACCAAGTGAATCGTAGAATTCAATCACATATGATATAAGAGAAATTGTTGTTGAATATGAACTGGTTTTTACGTAGAGATTCGCAAAGGAAGGAGACATACGACTGTATTTTGGTTGTGAAACATACTAAATCTGCTTTCTATCACAGTTTTGCATCAGATTGTATGTGACCTACTTTTGATGTATGAATTACTAAGAGGCATTTTTGGACTTGATTAATTTCCTTCTCACTCTGTTACATAAGAACAACCTCGAAAAACAGAAGACGATTTCAAAAGCTAAGAGTAGGTGGAATACTTATCATACATAGGTTTCCATACACCTAAAGAAAACTCAATGAATATACTGCCGAAAGAAATAGGTCCTGATTAATTCACCCAAGAGAAAAAGAGATGCTTAAAGAAGCCTAACAGATAGAAGTCAGCATAACTCGTTGGCTCCTTGTTTTCATTTTACAAATCTGAAAATAAACCGAGTCTGTGATCTATTGGGTATTGGAGATTGAAGACTAAGGGTCAGCCTTATCAACCGCTGTTTTCATAAATTTGACCGTAAAATTTATGTTGACTTTTCTGTAAGTGTTTAGGTTTAATTAGAGTTTTAAAAATAGTTTATATAAAAATTTTCGACGTTTTTTCATTAGAGCTAACTTTAGAGGAAATTGTTAAAGTCTCTATCAAGTTGTTTACCTATATTTATATTTGCTCTTTGGGGCAATTTAAATGCAGTTTCGAACTATTCGCTGCCCATAACTAAGCACCTGCATGTGACTTTAATTTTCTTTGCTTGAAGTTCTCCGCAGCAGGGGCAGCAGTCCATCGTTTAGTTTTTGGCATAAATAATGTAGCACTCGTTAATTTCACTTGTTTTTGTCATTGTGATAGCACACCAGGGTATATTAATAGTTTGGAAATGTAAAAACTCAATTTGGGAAGTCTTTTTATTCAGCTCTATCGGTAATGACCTTCTTCCTGTCCTCAGAAAAATAGATATAGTGTTCGAAATTGTCGACTGAAACCGTATTAGAGTTATTTTAAACCATAAAAAACCTATCCGTGGACTCAGCTTCACAATTTTTAATAAACTTTTTGAAAACTTCACACGGGTCTGATGAAAGTCAGGTGACAAAAACCTGGGTATATGTTTTATTGATCGGTGACTCGTGGTAGATAATCAATTGTTCAAGTAGTTGTTTAGAATACTTAATTTAATCCACATATCTATCCAGTAAGTATGTTTAATTTTCATATCGCCTTCATCTCCAACTCTGTATAAATCTCTGGTCTCCGTTATTTAAGCATGTATTGTTGGCCATGGATGGCTACACTATAGTTAAATTTGACTTACAAACGTTAATTGTTTACTGTCATCTTCCTCAGCTTATGGATATTGGTGCTGATTCACTATTTTATGAAGCAGTTAGTAAGAACTGCTAGCTTAAATATGACACAAACCTAACATTTTCTTAGATAGGAGTTTGGAGCCATCAAATTTGACCAAATCGACTTATTTCTCTCTCTAAGCGTACCAATTTCGAAAAAGTACCAATTCACTTGTGCTTTATTCCCGGATTACTCTACGTTAGGTGCTGATTAGGTAGTCATCTACTCAAAAGCAGCTAATGTATTGCTTCCAACCACTCCGTGGTTATTTTTAAAATGAAAGCAATTCTCTGCACCAGATACATTTGTTACATACTTTTAGTGAGCTGTACTCATTAGCGTTATCAGTCACTCGAAAAGTAGTTCTGGCCACTGAGATCAAGATATAACAGTCCATGAAGTCACTTCTAGTCATGAGCTGTGCAGGCAGCTGCAGAATTAATAGTTTGACCCTTAAAATTAACATCGATCGTGGTTGTAGGACTTTCGTTACGTAATGAGAATTCGGTCATAAACATGCATACCGAAGTGTATCATTTTACCGCTACCTTGACTTGGCGGTTGGGCTTGCCTATCGTGATGACCTAACCGAGCCATATTGGCAGTAAAATATGTTTCTGTAGGTTCTGCCATGCCAGGCAGGTCGATTTGAGAACGGTGAGACTAAAAGCAGCAACTCAAGGTCCGAGGGCGAAGTCGTACTGCAGACAGTAGAGGGGTGTGACAGCAGTAAAGTGTTTCCCTCGGACAACTAGCATCTGCAGTGATGCTGCATCCTCACAAGGAAGGAAGGGGTTAGAAAAGGTCGACCCTAAAATGTCATACCTCGCCTTACCCCACGGATTTCCGTCTCCGGCGGTAAGACCGTTTAAACAACATCGGAGCTAATACTTTAAAAACTTCTCATCAGAAGTCCTTGTAGAACCAGTCTCAAGCAGTTGTCCCTTGGGCTCTGCGGTCACGCTCCCAGGGCTATAAGGCCAACAGTAATCTGCCTTCCTTTTCAGGTTACTCAAAAAGTACCTTTCCACAGTGTGGGCAGCCGGGAAGTAACATCCGCCCTCATACCTGTAAGAGTACATGAGACCAAATCGGTCACAATCAAGTCCTTTATACACCGAATAACTTATCTCCACGGCCAACCGTTCCTTCGTTCCTTTATCACCTCTAATGCAAACATCTCGAGCTCACGAAACGTTATTTCCGTTCTCCTGAAACCTCATTCTAAACTACATGTGGGAGCTTTTAATGTTCAAATCTTGCGTCAAAAAGGGCAACAGGCTTCCTTAGATAGGACGATAAAATTGTCATCTCCAAAAGCACGTCAGTAACAACGTTGAATAAGAATGCTCAGCCCTGGCAAACACTACTTGAAATAATCGATTCTGATAACAGATCGCCATAAGCTATAACTCGACCAGTGGTGTTCGAGTAGAGAGCCTGCATAAGGTTAATAAAGCTATTTAGTACACCTTTCAATGAAAGAAATTGCCATAGAACCTCACGATCGACAGAGTCAAGCGCCGCTTTAAGGTCGCTCCAAGGTCGGAGGCCTAAATATGTGTGTTCCAAAACCTGTCGTCGAATGAATACGTGGTCTATACAGCCACGTCCAGGTCTAAAATCAGCCTGGTTTTCTCTAGTCTGCTCTTCACGAGCTCTAGTTAGGCGTCTAAGTATTATCGACGCTATGTTAACTAAACTGATTCCTCTGCGATTGTTACAAGAGGACTTTTGTCCTTTTTTATATATTGGAACAGTCAGTGATTTAAACCAGTTGGATAGGACTACGTCCAGTTCCCAGATTTTACCTAAGGTCTCACTCTATTTAACTGCTAAAACTGGACCACCATCCTTAAAAATATCAAATTTCAATTTATCAGGACCCTCTGCTCCCTCTCGCTTTAGATTTCCGATAGCTTTCTCAACTTCATTAAGAGTCGGAGTACATAAATCGATTTGCCATTCAGGTTGACTCGAGATGGTGGGCAACCAAAGTGGGGCTGAAGACCAGTTGAACTGAAAGCATACCTTTCTAGTTACGTGCACCGAAAACAGGGTATTTCTCAATTTTATGCGAACTTTCAGTAACAAGCTCAATGTCGGTGTGGAGTAACCATATGTTTCAGACCTGGACGTGGCTGTATAGACCACATTTTTACTCTGTGACAGGTCCTGGGACATATAAGCATTTAGCAGCCCGACAGTAGTTGTTCCTTGACCTTCAAGCGCCATTTGACTCGGTTGATCGTGAGGTTCTGTGGCAGTGTCTGTCCCTTATAATTCTCTCTGATTACAACCCAGCTATTCCTAATGATTAGCATTCTCAGACACCAATTCACTCGAGATGTTCTCGCAAAGTCAGAACACGATTAGACAGGAAATAGATTATATTCCAATAACAAGGTTAGATGGGAGACATACAGACAGATACAACGCAGAACTTCGTACGTACGTACATCAGTTCAGGTTGTCATGCCCCATCAGCACAGAGACGCACAGAGACTTTCAGTTCAAATCCAAGAGTGATAGCAATAATAGAAGTATTAGCAGTAATGGAGAAGATTAGGGAGCGAAGATACGATTCGAGGAGTATCATTCAATAAGATAAATTTTGAAGGAGAAAGGAGTAGAGATTCTGAGGAATGCAGAAGCTTAGAATTTCATAGAACACAAAGAGTGGATGCACCTGCGCCACTGTAAACGATTTTGAGCCATGTCAATCAATGTCTCTAACCATCGGTTACTTTCGTCTCGTCGACCCCAACAACGTAGCCTACATCTACCAACATGACTCTGTCCACTTGTCAGTGACTTCATGCATTTCTGCCATGTTTTGGTTTGGCCGCCAGACATGTCCCAACCACTTCAACTGATCAAGTTTCAATACTTCATATGTTGATTCGCCATCCCTACCTAGTACTCGTTTCCTAACGACAGCATTGCTTACTCGGCTGTCCCACGGTACATGAGCAATGCTTCGGAGACACCTATGATCGAAGACAAGCAATCTACGAGTGTCCTCTACTCTCATTGGCCATGTTTCGCACCCGTATAGTGGGACAGAGCGAACTGCTGTGCAGCACACTCGTCCTTTGGTTAGCGAACAGATATCTCGTCTGACTCTTGACATCTAGTAAGGTTTTAGTTCTGTAACTAATAATTCCCATTTACTTTTTCATAGATTCTACTGTGTTTCTGTCTATCAGACACCGTCCGTCCTATTTCTAAATTTCCCAACTTTCAGGATTACAGTGGATTGATCAATGGGAAAGAAAAAGCTTAACGAACCTTCGCCTTCGTGCGATTTTAACTTCAGCAAACATGGTTTGGAGAATCTCGAGTCATTATATCCTACACTCTTAAAAGGTAATTTTTTTATGATGGCTTACTCCCTTAGTTGCCGGATCTAATGAATTCCCCTTACTGGATTTATCTTCAATTCAAATGGATTTGGAACAAATTTTGGCTAGCGTAGTGGAGCGTATAATTTGTCTAAAAGCCGAGTCCAAAGGAAAGGATTTACCTGTCAATATTATCTCGTTAAAATATCAAAAAGGAAGCTCTGAACCTGAATCTCATCAACAATATCTCTCAAAATCTTCGTTAGTCGTTAAAGCTAATCCTGACAAACCACTCACTCTAATAATATCTCAGCGCTCAGGTCCTTGTCCGAATTCTCAGTCAATGCTACCTGCTATTTCTAGTGGAATTGGCAGAGTCAAACCTTCAGTCACTGCATTCGGCTTACGACGTTCCAGTAGAGTAAGATAATATTTAAACAATTTTATTTGCAAATCCTTTTTCATTTCATAATGTATGATTATTCTGGAAATGGGACAGGTTATTTCAATGCTTATTCTCATACCAGGTTCTCAGATTTAGCACTATCGAACATTCATGTTTACTGAAGAAGTAGCTCAGGAAATAAATACGGGCGCATGTACACAACCTTGACCCACATTTTATGTGAACGTTAGTGACATTTACATCTGCACAGACCAAAGTACGCAGTGTAGTTTTCGAACCTGTAACTTCATCGTTTTAAGGTCTAGCACTTTAACCACGACATTCTGCTGTCTGGTAGAACAAATTTTGAACATAATTTCTTGTTCATAATCATATAAAAGTAATGATATAACTTAGATTTCCGAAGTAACTAAGACTATTAAAACTAGGTTATGAAGTTATGTGGTTAATTCAACATGAAAGTGTTCATCATAAGGTTTGTAAAGTGTTGTCTAACCCATTAAATCATGCTGTTTCACATTGATATGTTGTAAAGTGGTTTGCAGTGTTAATATATTGCCCACAATCCCTCATTACTCATTCATACCCTTACTTTATTTAACCATATTGGCTGAAAAATTGACGTCGAAACAACAGATTATTAGTTAAAACGTCACCCTACCTACTTCGGTCTGAATATGCAAATGGTAGCACTAGTCTCGTGTGTCTCAAAATCAATCTACGCTGACTAGCTGTTTTTTTACTTCTTTATTTAAAATAATGTGATTGGGGCATGTAATTCCACAATGATTTAACGAAACTCTCTGAAAGTTTATGTCTAAACAATCATTTTGGAATTCTTCAATTCATTTTTGGCTTCGAAAAATCATCGTTCTTTGTGAATAATCTACAAATAGACATCAAATAATGTTATGAATATTCATAAAACTTCCACTGTATTGAATAAACTTGTTCACATTTTATTAATCTGTAGTCTAATTTTAACTGGTTTTTGTCTGGAGTGAAAGAAGCAGATGGAGCTAGTAATTACTATGTCCAATAAACAGCCTAGTTTAAATAGATTTACAGCTATCCTTCAGTTTGTGTTAAACGTAGAACTGTAGATAGTAGAGTATTACTCAAAACTTTATTGAAAGATAATAATTAGATCTACCTATTTCAGCACAACTGACTTTCAGTTACTTCTATGTAAGCTCCGAATCTCCAAGAATTGAACACATTCGAAATCACGATCAATCTCAATACTCAAAACCGTCATCGGCATTTTATCAACACAAACGTTTACTTTTCATCTTCTACGGCTATGATGCATAATTGAATACGTGTAATAACTTTGTTATATATATATATAGTAATAGAACTGTATGTTTTATTAAACATTATCACAAAAGAAATATTTTCGATTTACAGTTTTATCGGTTTTGTTGTAGAACCAAGGTGATCCACTCACCATTTTATTGAAGATGTCACAAATTCTATTTTTCCACTGTGTCTTATAATATATTTTCGATCACTAAAAGAATCTTAAATAGTAGATCGGACTCGGTTTTACGAGTAATAATAGAGGCTTTTCGTCTTATTATTGATTGTCAGTCAGTCAGATGCAACGTAGAACTTCGTATGTAAGTACATCAGTTCATGTTGCCATACCACATCAGCACAGAGATGTAATTGTCAATTCAAATCCAATAGTAGAAGAGGTAGTAAAGGTATTAGAAGTAATCGGACAGGTTAGGATTTGAAGATAATATTCAAGAAGTATAATTCAGTGAGATAAGTTTAGAAAGTCAAAACTAGAGGGGTTGAAGAATACGGAAGATTAGGATTTGAGAGAACACAAAGAATAAATGCACCTGCGCCATTCCAAACGGTTTTGAGTCATGTCATTCAAGGCCTGTAACCATTGATTATTATCATCTCGCGGATCCCGACCACGTAGTCGACAACTACCGACATGACTCAGTCCACTTGTCAATGACTTCATGTATTTCTGCCATGTTTTGGTTTGGCCACCCCTAGCTTTCTTCCAACCTATTCCTACACTACAAAACAAAGCTCTTCGAGGCAGTCGGTGGTTAGGCACATCAATCAAACACAAAATATGTTGTTCAAAATTAAAATATGGTTCTAACAAATTGATTCAATAAAAAATTTCTAAAAAATCTAATTATTTATCTACTCTTTAAAATCTGCTTCCATCTCTACCGATTATGTAAAGGTATTAGAAGTAATGGGAAAGGTTAGGATCAGAAGATGTTATTCAAAAAGTATGATTCAGTGAGAAAAGTTTAGAAAGTCAAAACTAGAGGTGTTGAAGAATCCAGAAGATTAGGATTTGAGAGAACACAATGAATAAATGCACCTGCGCCATTGCAAACGATTCTGAGCCATGTCGTTCAAGGTCTCTAACCATTGGTTACTTTCGTCTCACAGACCCAAACTAGGTAGTCGACAATTACCGACATGGCTAAGTCCACTCGTCAATGATTGCAAGGATTTCTGCCATGTTTTGGTTTGGCCGCCCCTAACTTTCTTCCAACCCACTCCTATACTACAAAACAAAGCTCGTCGAGGCAGTCGGTGGTTAGGTATACGCAACACATGTCCCAACCACCTCAACTGATGAAGTTTCAGCACTTCATCTATTGATCTGCCATTCTTACCTAGCACCCGATCTTATTATTGATTGACGGCAACATGAAGCAAACAATATACTGTGGAATTCTTCTAGTTTATACTTCAATATGCAAGGTCCGATTTTCAGTAATTACCTTCAATATGTGGTTTATAGTCCCGTTTTAGTTTATCACAACATACTAAACTTTTACCTCTAAAAGTGGAAAGTGATTGAGTAATTGTGTTTTATCAGTGAATAATAGTCTGTACTAATGACAATTAGGTTTTTATTATCTTCATAAGAAGCTTTTTATACTTCTTAATGTGTTTTTTTTTCAGTCATCCGTTGAAGAAACTCCTGAACCGAGTTCTCCTACATCTCCTGACAAGAATCAGTTGTCTGCAAGGTACAGTTATTTTTATACTCAATAAATGACCACTCAAAAACAATGATCACTATCTTGATTTTTATCCGCAATGTTGGGTAAAGTTTTTGTCTCAGTCAATTGTCTATTCAATAAGTATTCCCTCATCAGTTTTCAGTGCCAGATATTAAAAAAAGGAATCCTTAGGATTTCTACAAATAAACTTTACAAACTTTAAATGGTTGTGTAATGAACCAACTGAGAACAGATTCATAATAAAGATTCATTGCTATTTCTTTTTGAAGACGTCTGATTGCTACAGTTTCAGCGAATTCCAAATATTGGGATGAAATTGTGTATTAGTTACCTTGAAAGATTTCAGTGTGTCAAGCAGATGTCTGGGAATGTTAGTGCGCAATACCTTTGATCCGATTGACCCTCGAACTTTTAGAATATCCTCTTTGAGTCGGACGTAGGGCCTTTTTTTCTGTCCTATAAGGTAACTACTTCTGTAGATACAGGTGAATTTGTATACCCAGTTGGTTTCCACACGAAAGGAATATCTATGGACCTTTGATTGTTTTGAAGAACATGCTGTTTTGAACATAGCAATCAATTTAACTGCAGGATATATTCTTATTGATGGAGTTTTTAATTTTATGTTTATTGTCTGTGTAACATCATGACCTTTAAATTTAGACTGAATAAAAATAGATTGTTTAGGATTCCAGACAATGTCACCTATTGAGAACGCAATACTACCAGATGTTCACTCGTTTAGGGTTAAAGATGTATGCGAAATGAGGCTTTTGAAACCTCTAACGTATACTCATTTTTCTGTAAAGAAAACACCAGGTACATTTCATGGTTATCTTTCACATCAAAAAAAATGTTTTTTTTTTGAGTTCTAAATAAATTATCATTCAATTAGATTATGTAAAAAAAAATAGAGAAACCTAATCATCTCCCATCACTGATAGGTTAAATTCATATTTTTAAAAGTACACAACCAAATTTATTGATAGTGAATACGCCAAAAATTGTCACATGCTGATGATCAATTTACGTGTAATTAGTACTGATCACTAAACAACTACATATACATATATATACATATGTATCCTTTAACTTCTGAAATATTGTTACATTTCATATTATCATGAAGTAATATCGTTTAGAAATTGACTCAATGAATACATTTCAAGTGTATAAAATTGATAGTTTTATTTAATTTCGAAATTTCAGTAGACACTTTGTTGTAATGGCTGCTTGGATATATTTTCCGGCTAAATCGTATTGCTTAGTATTCTCTGACCACAATACACTGGACAAGTTCCCAAGAACACAGTTGAACAGGAAAAGATTATATTCCAAATAGCAAGATTAAATGGAAATAAGAAGCCAAAGGTGATGGCGAAGGCGAAGGCCAAAAATAGATACAACGTTAGTTGATTTATAGCATTTACATGAGAAGCTTCTGGATAGAAATTCACGTGATCGACTGGATTAGATTTAGCCAATCAGCATACACAGCTAACAGTACGAGAATTTTCTACTCTGTTCTCCAAGAATCGATCAGGCGCTGATTGGATAGGAAATTGGCCAATCAGCGCGCAGCAACGTAGTCATGCTTTAATTCCATCTATGTCCCACTAACACACTTTCTTACATTTGGATTGGTTGATGCTTCCGTTGGAAAAGATGACATCATCTGTTAGATTATATATATAGAATGAATGGTCTACAGGTGTAATAAAAATACTACTTTCATCATATTAGCTTATTATTTTTTTATTGTACTTATTTTTATTTTTATAGTTATGCCATTCCAAATAAATTCTGGGAATTAATGGAACCATATTGTGCTGAAATAACTGAAGCCAATGTCAACTATTTAGAAAGTCTTATCCGATCATATCAACATTTGGAATCAATTTATTTTCATTTACCTGTACTAAAACAAAGTGATTTGTGTAAAAATGAAACTAGCGAAACACCAGGTAAGCTTTAAGTTGTGAATAATCACTGTCATTTTTTACTATTCAGTTAGTTAGTTTGTTTTGTTTTGTTTTTAAATTGTTTTTAATAATTTTTATGTTTTATCAATGAGTAGTTATACACTATTCATTGATTGTTTATGATTATTGTGTAAGTTGTTTCGTCTTAGATAAGAATTTTAAAGAGCCAACTGATTTCAAAAGCATTTGTGGCTATTAAAAAATAAGTTAGTGATAAAACATTTGCTCACTAACTACACAGGTTTATATATTGAGCTTTAAATGTATGGAACTATTCGACAGCTAAAACAGAAAGGATGCTTAGAGAAGGGGACTAAAACTTATCGGCTTTTGATTGAATATCTTAGCTATGAAACTGTCATTTCAAAATGCTATCATGCAAGTTCACTGAAATACGTACTATGTGATCAAAGGTTTACTTCCAGTTTAAACTATCTTCATTCGTGCATATAATTATAGATCTTATCCAATAGTTGAATTCTAAGTTACACAACAATATTTATTTACTGCTAACCTATCAAGTTATTCAGTCATATATATTTATCACTTTATTTTATAGTACAGTGATTATTCTCGTTAACTTACCAATGAATAACTCCTTACTATCATATGGCGAACTGTCATCGGAATTGGTTACTTCAAGTAGTGTCCGTCAGGGATGTCCACTTTCTCTATTCTTGTTTGTTTTGACTTTCTAAACTTATCTCGCTAAATCATACTTCTTGAATAATATCTTCTAATCCTAACCTCTCCGATTACTTCTAATACCTTAACTACCTATACTACTGTTGGATTTGAATTGACAATTATATCTCCGTGCTAATGTGGTAGGCAATTTGAACTGCTGTACGTATGTACGAAGTTCTATGTTGTTGACTGACTGACTGACTACTGTCATAGTGTCTGATACATGAATTCATTTTAGTCAAAAATGAATCTAAGCATTTTAAATTATGATTTATATTAACTTATTTATTTTATTCGTACAATCCCATTCGTATATATATATATATATATATATATATATATATATATATATATATTTAAATAGAGAATTACACTATTCTATGAAACCATTATTTACATAATATTTTGGTTGTCGTTTGTTTTCAACATAACATAATCATTCTAATTTGTTTTTCTCATTAGCTTACAAAAGACTCAGGCGTGGTTCTTCTCACATTTTTCAACAGGAAGAATTATTAAATTCATCAAATAACTGTAATTCACATATGTCTGCATCTCAATTGCTCAATGTAACTAAATACTTGGAGACAGAGCTCAAGTAAGTGTTAGCATACCATAAAAGTAAATAGATTATTGGTTCTCTTGTATAATTGGTGTTTTGATCCGATTGTTTTAAATACTTAGGTTATGAAAGTGCTTACAGTCACTTTTCTAGTAATTAGTAATCAGTCATTCTCTTTTGTAGCTGTAAGGGAAAGTTACTAATACTTTAATTCAGTCATGTATTGGCAATATATTTTTTGCAATAACAATATTTTTGGGCAGTTTTGGGAGGTTTGCGTTTTTACACATTTGAAATCATCAATCAATCAATCATTGTTAGACCACCATTAGAAACCTGGAAGCACTGGACGGCCGTTTCGTCCTGGTATGGGACTCATCGGTAGTGCGCATCCACGGAGTTCTAGTTGAGAAGACGTGACTAATGGTGTTCAACCCTGTCGGGTTTAGGCAGTAACTACCAAAGACAAATAGGTGAGGTCGCGCAAAATCCCTAGATCAATCAGAGCTAGACATTAACACCGTTGGATGCCGGCCCAGTGGTCCGATGGTAAGGCGTTCGCCTACAATGCCAAAGGTCCCGGGTTCGAATCCTGCGGGGAGCAGGAGTCGTGGATGCGCACTGCTGATGAGTCCCATACCAGGGCGAAACGGCCGTCCAGTGCTTCCAGGTTTCGAATGGTGGTCTACCAATGATTGATTGATGATTTCAGATACCAATATTGTTCAAACTTCATAGTGGAATTTTCATTTATTGTTCAATCTTTTATCAACTACTATTCACAATCATCAGTGACTAATTGCCTACACTAATCTTTTTTCACATGAAGTAATAAATTGGAGGAATAAAGAACCTAAAAGAAATTATGATTTTTCTTTTTTTTTCTAACACTTTTATTATTATTATTATTATTATTATTATTATTATTATTATCGCTTCGACCTTTCTACCTATCGCCTTAGTTATTTCAACCCTTATTCTGCTTATGAGTAGTATGTTATTCTGTCCGATTGTCTATAACCGACCAACAGATAATCGATATAATTGTGCCAAGATCAAAGGTGATTATCTCTAGCGTTACAATTCATTGCAATACTTAAGTGCCAATTATCGTAATCTTTCGGATTATGACTTCGTCATAAATCACACAAAATCTGACACGTCCATCGATTCAAGGTTTTATTATATATACCATTTCACTATGAAGAGATGAAATTATCATGAGAAAAGCTAACGTATGAGAATTAGTAATACTATCAGTGGTAGTAAATAAAGATGAAATTCCAAAAGTAAACATGAATATTAACAGAATAAGTATGCAATAAATTTGAAACTCGGAATCCATGAGGAAATTAAGAGTGAATGCATCTGTGTCATTGCAACCGATTCTAAATTGTTATCCAGTGTTCTACAACCATTAGTTGTGGTGTCGCATATGAGGTCTAGTAGTTACTAACCGTTTACCCAAACTGAAATAGGTGGAGTGGGGCCCCTATCTACGACCTAATGGTTAAAAGTTGAAAGCTTCAACCACTAAGTCATCATGTGGACCCAAATCACACCGTCTGTACCGACTAACATGACCCAGACCAACGTCTATTAATTTTATGGTTGATACAAAATCTTAATTTGGCCGTCTTTAGTTTTCTTCTGTCCTACCACTATCTGATGTCAAAGTAGGTGATGATTGGACAATCATCTTAGGCTATGAACTACCTTGTCAACCGATTTGCTATTCCTACCTAATGCTCTGTGTCTAACCCCAAGATTGCTCACATGCTGTCCTCAATATACAAGAGTAAAGATACTTGTGATCAAATAGTAGTCATCTTTGTGAAAACCGTGTTTCGCAGCCACAAAGTAGGATAGGACGAACCATTACCCAGTACACTAGTACTTTAATGGATGGACGGAGACTTCGCCAACGCCATAGGCGATGCAAGTTGGCGAAAACAAGTTTTCTGATTCTGTTACTCGATCTCGATAGAAACCAACCCATCAGAACAAATTTTTCAGGTCAGATTCCTTCGAACTATCCTCCCATAAAACTTCAGAAGTTGACGTATTTCTGCTCACAGATTGACACCAATTCTGACATCGTTTCTGGAGTGTTCCAAACCAATCAAATCTTTTTCAATCATTTTAACAAAGTTTGGTTTCTGTGTCTAAACTATCATCAATCAGATAAAGCATCGTTCATTTTGAAGGCTGTACAGTTTGTTTGGAGTTTAAGAGTTATCGAGTGACAAGGGTTCACAGACTGTCTATTATAACTGATTATTTATTGAATACGTTCGGTCCCTAAACCTCAGCAATTTAAAGGAAGAGATAAACAGTAACAAAATTCTTATCAAAACAGCTTAAACACACAGCTTAATAAACAATATTCAACAATGATATGTTCAATATCTATCCGAATGTCAACAATGATTACATTTCTATTTTCATCATTATGGCTACTTATCTAATATTCTTCTATTGTTTCAACTGAACAGTCAGGAAAGCAGAAACCTCCGTGGCGTATCTATCTTGTGAAAAAGTGTACTAAATTAGTTAGAATGTTAATTAATTATCAGTAGTATGTGAAACATAATACTCTTTTCATTGTATTATTACTTAACATTTTCTGCAAATCTACACATGAGAAGAAAGTACATTTGTGTACTGTTTAGACAATACTTTTTTTAATTAACTACAAATACAATTGATCTCACTCTTTATGTTTAACAATAATCATGCATCAATCAGCAAATATGTGTATTTCATGAGTGACTCAAATATTTTTGAAGTTATAGGCATGTTTGCAAGTAATACTCTCGTCGGTCATTTTGTTTCTGAACTACGGAATGATATTAGCTTGGAGAGTCGATGTTTAGTCCTAGCTTGTATCTCTTCATCAGTGCTTATACACTACCGTCCATATGACCCTCAATATCCAGTTGTACACATTCTGAATTAATGTCTATTGAAGCAAGAAGTAAAGTCTTAAACTAAAAAGAAGCAGCTGTTCAGCACTCCTTGGTCTTCAAATGTTTTCCTTTCGGATGTTCAAACATCTCAAAAGCACTAATAAAGTTTATATATATACATAGACACTTGTGATTGCTATTTTTTTACATCGATTTTCATATTTGATCACTAAGTATATTGTATAATTATCGTTGTTTTTCTATTGCATTTTATTACTTATTTTAGAAAACCAGTCCCTGAATCTTCTATGTTGAGTAAAGTATCTCAATCCCTTTTGGAATCTTGTTATCGAGATGATGTGTTGTCAAATTTCAGCGGAAAATTGAATTTTCCTACACATAAAGGTATTTATTTTTGCATCATGTTTAATTAATTTCAGTGATTTATTTGTATAAACTACTACAAATTTATTTTGTATTTACAATGTATGTATCTTATGAGTAACAAATATCTGACTGATAGAGGTATAGTTTAGTTGACTAACCAATGACAATCGAAAAACTGAATATTAGTATTTCGTAAAGAATTCAAGAATAAGTGACGTTTCACAATACCTTTCTTGGTTAGTAGATGGATAGATTTGTCGCTATTGCGTTAGACTCGTCTCCATAGGATACTCTAGAGAGCATACATCTCCATGACTTTTTAACACATCCTACCTTCAGTGTTTCATTTGTGTGCAATAAATATCAAACATGTTCCCGTTAATCTCATGAGTGGATACTGCATACAAAGGGCATCATTTCCAACGAGAATTTCTTCGTCCCAGGCTTGAACTCGCACTATTTACCTGTTTAATCCGTCAAATTTGGATGCACAGGTGTTGTTTTCACAGATATATATGTAGACGTATGTATAAGATAGTGGTGAATGAATAAAATGAAAGTCCCCAATGAAAACTACTACACTCTTAAATCTAACAATGTCACTAAATAAGTAGGATAGTGTCTTAGTGGGACATAAATTGGATTAAAGCATGATTGCGTTGTTGCACACTGATTGACTCTTTCGTGTCCAATCAGCGCTAGCCGACACTGAAGGAACATTCTAGAATCTTCCCATGTAATGAAGCTATAAATACACCAACATCTTTTTCCTTTGTAACTTCTGACTTCCTTCTAACCTTGTTATTGAAATATAATCTATACACTGTTCAACCGTGTTCTGATTTGGGAGAATGTCTCGAGCGAATTTTTGTACGAGAATACTAAGCATTAAGAATAGCTAAGTTATAATAATAAGAGAGAATCATAACAGCTAGTGTATGTAAGAGATGCATGTCATCAACATTTGTTTGTCGTTTTCTTACTTCATTTCATTTTCGTACAATGTTGGTGTAATATTGTCGGTTTAAGACAAGCCTCATGTGCAAAAAAAATCTTTCTCTCCAGCGTCGTAGTAAAATGAGTTTCCTCTTTTTTTTCAACAATCAACAATAGGATGATTTTACACAAAATGAAATTATTTAAACTTAACACCACTATATCTCATGTTTGATTGGTTGTAATCATTGATCAAACTATTGCGTGTAAAAGCTATTTATTGTATGTGAAAAAAAGTAACTGTCACAAGGACAAGAAATTTTTCTTGAATTTTATTAGTGTATATTTTAGCTTGTTGATTATGCTGCTAGATAGTTCGATTAAATGATGTTTGCACTCATTGAAAAATATAATTCAATTTGAACAGGTGTACTTTGATGACTCGAATAAAAAATAGAAACGATATTTGTTAACACTAATCGTTGCGTGTGTGTGTGTGTGTAACAGAAATTATTGTTAAACCAATGTAAAGAAAATTATTCAAGTGTTGGGAAAATGTAACTACAGTTTTAATAACAAGAAAATTTCTAAAATAAGATTCTTTTCTGGAAATTAGAAAAATTCAACAAGTTAACTTGAACATACATGATAAATACTCAGTTTTTGCTTTAATGAAATAGAGATATATGTTATAAGTCATATTTTCTTATTCTATTCTCTTCAGCATTAAGTGAGTAAAATATTCCATTGAAAAAACAAACCATATTTGTTTATTTGTTGAAGGGTTAACTCAATGTATGCAGATTTTTGTTATCTAGTGTATTAGCAATTAAACTGATGTGATATTTTATCGAGGCTCTCTTCTGGTATTTCTCCTCATTCCTCTACTACTATGTGTATACAAGGCCACTTGAAGAGCAAAGCTAACACTTCCAAAACATCCGATAAAAAGGTCGTGTGTAACTGGCTTCAAGAAGTTGTCCCGTGGGCTCTGTAGTCATGCTCCCTGGTCAGAAAGAACAACGCTAATCTAACTTCCTTTCCAAGTTCCTCAAGAACTACCCTTCCATGGTGTGGGCAGCCGAGAAGTGACATCCACCCTCACACCCGTAACAGTACATCAGACCAAATCGGTCACAATCAAATCCTTCCTAAACCTCTTAATAGCTTTCTTATCACCTCGTGTCGCTGGTGTAAACGTTTCGAGTACGCAAAACATTATACCTGGTCTCCTGAAACCCCATTCTAAACTACATGTTGGAGCTTTTAATGTCCGGATCTTGTGCCAAATAGGACAACAAGCTTCCTTAGCTAGGACTTCAAAATCTAGTGCTATCGATGTATGCTGCGTTTCGGAAACGCGTATACAAGATCCGACAAAAATCACTAATTTGATTTCACCTTGTCTAAATAAAGAACTAACTTGATATACACTCCATGTAGTTGGAAGCCTTGGTGCTTCTTTCTGTGGCCTCGCTGGCATTGAGTACTAGGGCAGAACCAGCTCTCCTAGACTGGATCCCAGTCAGTTAATCAGTTACTACGTTGAACGCCGAACGTATGCACATCAGTTCGAGTCGTCTTACCACATTAGCACACAGAGATCGAATTGTCAATTCAAATCCCATAGTAGTAGACGTAGTAGAAGTATTAGCGGTAATCAAAAAGATTAGTGATTGAAGATATCATTCAAGAAGTATATTCCAAACGAATCAAATTTTAAAAAAAAGAAAGCAAAGGTATGCAACAATATCCATATAGTTGTGGAAACAGCGATGATATCTGCTAGTAAGGTAAACCGAAAGGTTAAGGAGAAGCAGTGGATTTCAGTAGCATTTACCGAACTGATGTATGCTCGAAAACTCACCCCTGCTGGCTATGAGTACGACGAAGAGTAGAGTCAGCTTAAGTGTAGCCTGATAAAAAATGTTAGGGTCCACGAGACAATAGAGACTTTGAATGGCGTAGCTCAAAATAGGTTGCAATGGCACAGGTTCATCCATTCTTTGTTCACGCTCGAATTTTTAATCTCCTGAACACCTTAAGACTGTTTTTTTTTCTGTTTTTACATTTATTTAACTAAGATGTATTTTTCAAATCGAATCTTCGATCCCTAATATTTCTGCTACCTCTACTACTATTGGATTTCAAATGATAATTCGATCTCTCTAAACTTATATGGTATAGCAACTTG